CACCTTCTCACACACACTAACATATTCAAGCCAAAACCAAATAACTGACCAAGCATACCGAGCAGTGCTGTCCCATACAGCTTTCTATGATGGGAATCTCCATCCCAAATTGGCCAATTCAGAAGTACTAAGGACTTTTGCTTTTAATCCTATGTGACTAAAGCTACACCTGACTAGGACTATCCTGTTGGACAGTGCACCCTTATCCCTAAAATCCATTTGAAGTTAAGAGGCTGAGAAATGCCCAAGGTGACTGACTGAGCAAAATCTAGACTGTTGGGACCTCCACAAAGCAAATGACCCATTGCTCCAACAATTAACTTGCAAGTACATAAAAAGGGGAAGGAAAAAATGTGTAAATTAAAAGCAGCTAAAGGCCATGCCAAATGTCAATCACAGTGTGTGGACATTACGTGGACCTGATTAAACAAACTGGAGGAGGAGAGTAGGCATTTACAAGCCATTTAACAATGTGAACACATAATTCAAGTGGGTGTGATTGGGCATTTGGAACCACTTATAATTGAAATACAGTCAGCCATTGCTTAATGATGGATCCATTCCGAGAAAAGCCCAGTTAGGCAATTTTACCATTGGGTGGACATTACAGAGTGTATTTATACAAGCTGAGCTGGCTAAGACGTCACGCAGCATTATAATCTTACAGGATCACAGTTCTATGCCTGGCCCGTAGTTGTGTAGAACTTGACTATAGTATATCTGAAAACTGCTTCACGTCTTACATGGGAAGGTGGGGGATAGAAGCCAGTAAGGGCCGGGCAGTGGTGGTGCACGCCTTTAATGGGAGGCAGAAGCAGGCGGATTTCTGTGAGCCTGGTCTACAAGAGCTAGTTCCAGGACAGCCTCCAAGGTCACAGAGAAACCCTGTCTCAAAAAAAAAAAAAAAAAAAAAAAAAAAAAAAAAAGAAGCCAGTAAGGATAGGCTGGGACTAAGTGAGAGACATCTACTATTTTGTCTTTGAAACTCTTCATAATTAAAGCTGATAGGAAAAAAAGGGCACACATTCGACACATACTGTCACCACCCACAAGAGACCCAAATGAAAGGTGAAATACTAGACCAAGGTGCCTTTGATCCCACAAAGATCAGCCTGCCTCTGCCTTCAGTGCTGAGATCAAAGGCATGTGCCACCAAGCCTGGCTGCCCCTCTGCAGAACTCACAAGGAAGGGGAAGGCCACAAGAAAAGAGAAGATTAGGATGGGTAAGAACAGGAATTCACCTGCTAGTCCCTGCTTGCACAGGCGTCCTGCTAGCCATAGTGAGTAAACTCACAAAGTTCACCCTAGATTTTTGTTTGGGTGAATACTTAGAGACCAGGGACACCTGCATTCCCAGGGTTTGTCTAGCCCACAGTTAGAGATCTGCAAATGAGGTCCTTGATTGGCCCAGATGTGCATTTCTCCCCACCACAACCTGGTTTATAAATTACAGAATCCTTAGTCTTAAAGAGATCACGTCATAACCTGCCCCAAAGCCCACAATGGAAGGTCAGACAAGCAGGGATGCGCTCTATCTTCCCAGGCTGGTGCCAAGCCTTCTTCCCAGACATCTCACCAGTCAACACAACCAGGTAGTGGAACCCCAGCTTCCTGCTGCAAGGCAGCAGCAATAACAAAACCTTCACCTGGGGCTGTCAGCTGACTTCCTACTGGGCAGTCTGTGCTAATGGTTCCCTATTGTTCCCCCCCCTTTTTTTTTTTTTTTTTTTTTTTTTTTTTTCTCATTTAACTCACATAATTCTTCACGGCTTTGAGGAGCAAAATGTTCCAATTCAAGTTGTTCTGCCTCAGAAGCCTTCCAAAGCTGTTGCTCTGCAGATGTAGGAATGCTGTTCTTGGCTTGGCCCTTCCACTCGCTCCCATCATCTCCTAGGCTTCATTTCCCACCCCGTGTAGCCAACTCTGTCCCTGATCCTAACGGGTACATTTCCTATCCTTTGCTCATTAGAACATTGATTCCTTGCCTTACTCAAGCACAGGACTCAGCCTACATCGCCCTAAGACCAGTCACCCTCATTTCTACAACCTTCTGGTCCATATCAAAACCCCTTCCCAACTCAGCAATCACATCTTTGCTGGTGCTCCCAGTCTGGTCCTCACTCTCCTCTACAGAGGCAGGTGTCTCCCCTGCCAGACCAGTGAACATCCATGGTTAGCACGCATACAACGTACTTTGCTCATTGTGTCTCACACTGAATTAGGTAGAGATCCTGAAGATTTTATAGATAAGGAACCCGAAACCCAGAACAATAAAGAACTGCTTAAGCTTGCATGGTTCCGAAGAACTTACAAATGCCTGTTCTTAGATACTTAACCACTACTGCTAGAGTGTTCTGGAAGGAACGCACTGAAGTAGGAGTGTTTTATCTCTTGGCTGTCTTGCACACAGCAGACATAATGTATAATGGCTGTTTTGTTTTTTGTTTTTGTTTTCCTCTGGGCAGGGCACAGGCTCAAACCTGCCCCTTCTTTGGTCCTACAAGCCCACTGCCCAATGTGTGTCTTCAAGTTTTAAACCTAAGTCATTAAAACAGTACACATGGCTGCAGCTGCAACTCACTTACATGGTGCTTGTTGAACATGGAAGGTGGGGTGGATCAGGTCTATGGGGGCAAATATATGCCATGCTGTGAAAGGACCTCATCCTTGAATGGCTTTCTTTCTCTTCCAGTCAAAAAAACTAAACCTTTTTGTTTTTGTTTTGAAACAGTGTCACTGTATGTAGCCCTCTTTGGCTTAAACTCCACTAAGTAGACCAGGCTGGCCTAGAAAGGAAGGGTAGGAACTTGAACGTCTTCAATGAATAAAAGCTCCCTAGGAAATGGAGAAGGGTAGGGAGCATGTTGCTTGTTAACGGTCTGCAAATATGCCCAAGCCCCTCCCCCACCACAGAGGCAATTTATCTTGGAAACGACTAGTTTATTGACTCCCTTAATCCAAAATTCCAACACTTGTGTCTGCCGAAGGCAGCAAAGAGATCTTCCAAAATCTCATGAGACTGGCTTTCTCTTTACCTACAAGAGGTTGGAGGAGGGACAAACTAACGAATTACTGTCCCTCCCCAAACAACCTTACAATTGTCTTCCTAGCCTGGTGATAAATATGCAAGTGGGGCACTTTGTAGAATTTCCCAAAGGGCAAGAGCTATCTGCTTCAGGAAAAATTTCCCTCCTACTTAACCCCACCTGGCCCAGCAGCCTCCGGACTGCTCACCCTAAACCTCGATGCACTCGTGCACTCGGTGAAGTATACCGCCCCCAGCTCACAGCATCCTAAAGTCTTTCCGGTGTTCTGGCTTCAAATCCTAATTCAGAACCAAATGCTCCCCGGCCTACCCCTGGGGAAAGCAAAGACTGCTCTCTTTTTTTCCACCTAATCCTTGGGTTCACCCTTCCCTCCCGGCATCCGCCTGGGAGCCTGGGTAGCCGATACTCCGTGGCACCCTAGAATTATGGATCTCTTTATACAAGGTGGCACTATAGCCGGCCACTAGGATCTGGGGTTTATGCATAAAACACGCCGCCTCCCCTCCCCCTCTAGCTGGCTGTGAGTCAGCGGGGCAGGATTCCTTAATCCTGGGGGTAGCGGATACCTTTGAACAGGTGGTCCTGGAAGTTCCACCCAACAAAGCGCTGATGGCCATCCAGATAAGATGTTGCCTTCTATAGCTTTTGAGGGGAACAGACATTCCAATCCACTGGGGTAGGGACACTAAAAAGTTCTGCAGGTGAGCCCTTTTATCTTTTACGAACTAATTTAATTCTTGAAGATTTGAGAGAAAAGGCAAATCTACAGTGCCCTGCACAACAAGCTACTCGTCTAACAGGCTCCACCGGCACTGGGAATAGCGGTGACTGCGAGGCCCACTGTGTCCCGAAAAACAAGCAGGGAAACAAAACCCTCAGGACCTCAAGGTGCCAAGGACTGCGTCCCAGAGGGCATCACGTCTAAGATCTCGGGTCGCGGTCCTTTTCCACCCGGAGTTTCGGGCCATCTAGTTAACAGTTTGGCCTTGGACACAGGGTGGGCAGCTGAACCC